TTGGTCCTTCTACTTACTTATTTCATACTTGTTAAATAGTTTGTTCTTCTCACTCATCTCATCCTACTAAGAGCATGAAGGCTGCTAAAGAAAATACATATAGGAAGCTGGGGGATGTGTTTGGAAAGGAGGAGCAGTAGTCGTACTCCTCTACCTTGACTCTATGCTATTTGGGGAGGTGTTTATGGTTTGATTATATGTGTAAGGTCTTGAGGCTTCTCATTTCACTTTTTGGAATCTCATTTACTATCTCATTTTATTTACAACACTCTAACATGGATACAGAAAGAATTATTATTATCCCTGTTTTACAGATTAGGAAACTAACTTGGAGTAGAAGTGGTAAATGAAATCTGTCTTCAAAAACCTGAGGCAGAGATCTACCCGTGCTCAAGTCCTTTCACATAGTAGGTCTTCAAACATATTTTCTGAATGAATGGGTAAATAGATGATTTTTTTCCACTAAAGTACTATTTTTAGGGCACAAGTAGGATAAGGAAGAAAAGTGAAGTTACAACAGGGCTGAGGAATGAGGTTAACAGTAATAGCTAACATTAATGGCATGCTTACTCTCTGTCAGTCATTTGAGAAGCACCTTATACTCATTTATTCCTTAGAACAACTTGTGAAGGTAAGTAGTAGTATTTTTCACATTGAACACATGAGGAAAACACAAAATATATTTCAGAGCTGGGATTCAAACCCAGGTATGCTGACCCACAGTCCATGCTCTTAACCTCCCACCACACTATGTAGAAACAAAATTAAGTCAGAAATCACAATAACGGCCAAGAACAGGTGCAACAGTGAGGAAATGAGGATAAGTGGAAGCTCTAATATCTACCAAGTGCCAGGCCTTTCCATAGATTATCCCTAGTCCTCAAATTAACCCGAAAAGTTGGTATGAGAATCTTCACTTCATAGATAAGGAAGCTGAAGTTCAAAGAAGCTAAATGACTTCCTCAAGGTCATACAGCTGACAAGTGACAACTGATTCAAATCAAGTCTTTTTGATTCCAAAGCACAGGGTTTTTTTTCTATATAGAATATTTCTAGAGACCAAATCTACACAATCTAGACCACAGAAATCTTCCATGTCCTGGAGCATCCTCTGTCCTTAAGGAATATGGTACAGAGGAATTCAGGGACGTTCATGTCTTTGACCAAAGAACCATCTTTCTCGATCTGGAACGTTCATCCCTTCACTAAGCATATAAAATACTAAACATAGATAGTAAACAAGGAGAAATGAGGGAGAAAGTACACCACTGCCCAGCCAGGTCAACTGAATCATCCCTGGTGATCATAAATGATGGATAAGTGTAACCATTTGGGTCAAAGTGCTATACATAATAGAGGATTTCATAATAGAGGTGTATTTCCAGCTCTAGACACTAGGTAGTATGGCTCCTTCTTTCTGTTTGGGGATATACAGATACTTCCATATATCTGTGGTGATCTCTTTTCAGCTTTCTGGAATTGCCTTCAGTCTTATTCCAGAGCAGTGGTTCTCAAACATTAGCATGCAGCAGAATCAACTGGAGGGCTTGCTAAACAGAAAATAGGGGGCGCCACCCCCAGAGTTTCTGATTGAGTAGATCTGGACTGGGTTCTGAGAAATTGCATTTCTAACAAGTTACTGGGTAAGACTGATGGTGAGGGTCAGGGGATCATACATCCAGGACTAGGGTTCTAGAGTTATTGTAAATTTCCAATTTATTTCTCCTTACTCCAAACCAATGGCGGCCATAATATATCAGCTCTCAGGAATGAGCAATCTGTTTTACAAACAATGTGCTCAATTCCTTGACTTCAAGGCCCCCAGGAAGCTCTATGTACTGATTTGCAGAGCTTCTGCATTTCATAGTCAGTTCCACATTTTCCCAGAGCATAGAAAGCACAAATAAAGATGATATCTAAGATAAAAGTTAAAAACAATAATGCCTATACCTTTGCAATTTATGCACAGGTCCTCAAAACTCAATTTCGTCCTACATGGTTTAGATTCCCCGGGCTAGCCCTGCATAATCAATATAATCTAGAAAGCTTCACCTAATCAATACTGTAGAACTTGTTCATTTTTCTGCCAATATCAGATAGAAATAAGGTTTTGCTCATGTTTTACAAATGAGTTTTTTAAAAAATTATTTTCATAACTTCACTGTGAGCCTTAGACTTCTAGTTGTCAGAACTCAGCGAAAGCTGTAACTGTTTCATCTGACAGTTCCTTTGGAACAATTATTTAATGTGAGCATTATTTAAATGTGAGAGGAGAATGCATATATCTTGGTGTGGGTTTAAAATTTAGCCTCAACATCTTATCTTCCATTTACATTTAAAACAGCACATTATTCTTTGCTTCTTGGCTTCCATTTAGAGTTAGCACAGAGTTCAGATATTGGGGGAAGTCATTTAAACTGAAGAGCGAAAGATAACACATTTTTCTTTCTTCAGATGGGATTATGAGAATAACCTCTCTTTTTTTTCTTTTTTGGACACCCAAATATCTTTTAGGGGGGGAGGGGCAGTGGGGGGAGAGTCTCTCACTGCACATCTTGTTCATTGGGGCTGCTTCCTGAGTCCTGCGGCTTCATCACATGCGGCAGCTCGGGTGGGTTGGAGAAGGGCTCGACGCGTAGGGCCTCAAATACTTCATCTGCTCAGAAGGCTAGTCCCACAGTAGCTGGGGCCTGAGGCCCTGATGTCTGGCTGGTGAAGCCACACTCGCCCAGTGTCTTACCGTCGTCCGGAAGCTTGTGGTCCTTGTACAGCCGCTCGCTGCTAGTCCAGCGGCCGCCTGAGGATGTCCTCGACGATGCGCTTCAGCTCGAACATGGTGCTTGACTCCTTGGCGTCCGTGAACATGGCAGTCCTGCGAGGAACGCAGCCACCGCAGCGGCTACTTCTCCCTCTAGACGCTCCAGAGCAGCCGTGCTCCGCCCCCTTCCCAGCAACCCGGGCGCTGGACCCAGCGTGACCCGCGCCAGGGCGGCCCCAGCCCACGCCACCAGGGCTCCGTGATTCTCTTAATCCCATTTAAAGAAAGAAAAGTGTTGGTTTTAAACTGAGGCAAAATGTGATCCCTTTGAACTCTACAGCTGACAATTTAGGAAAAACCACAGAGTCTTCAAGGCATTATTTCAAACCCTCTGGGTATGTACAAAGTTACTTACACTGGTTGCCATTTTGAGGAAAGATCCCTTTTTGAGGAAAAAATTTAACTCAAAAGAGTTCATAAATTAGCGCGGGAAAGCTGCTACAACCTTTCTCCTCAAACCTGCAGGAATTCGGACCTTATAGCTGTATTTACAATGGAGTCCTGGCCACCCTTTCCAAGGGATACTGAGTAGGGCATGGAGGGAATACCAAGAGTCTCCAAAGCAATTATCACTGTTCTGATGTGGTGATGGGGTGAGGCGAAAATGCACAGGAAATGGTTATTTGTTTACTTCAAAATATGAGTAGTGTTCAACTAAGGGGGCTAATCTGGAGAATTTCTGTATCTGTTTCATATGCCAGGCAGTGACATTGTACTTGTTATGTACAAATAGCATTCATTACATGCAGCTTTTGTCAACTCTAAAAGGCAAAGGAAAAACAGATTATTAGTAAAATAAAAAAAAAATAACACTGGTATGTATTTTTTTTCCTCAGGGTGAGGGAAAATGCCTGGATGTTGTTTTCAAACATCCCAGCCATCAACTCCAGAGAGCATGGACGAACATAATTTTCACTGATGACAATAATGAAGATGATAATGCTTTTCAGCATTTCCCAGAGCATAAATTCGGTTTGAATGTGAGCCTGGATGTGTGACCATAACGAATGCTAGTGATATGGGAAAAACAAATGCACAAATGGAAAACAGTGAGTCAGATAGCTCATTCATTTTGTCAGTAGAATCCAGAATTCCCCAAATCTGCTTAGTGTCTGCCATTGTATAATCTTAAGTGCATTGCACACCATTTGCATGTTGAATAAAATGTTAGAATTGCTTTGGAATAAATAAAGCAGTTGCATTCCACTGTCTCTCAGAAAGGTTTAGATTTTTGTTTTCTTCCTACATGCTCATTAGATTAAGTGCAAAGAATTTTTTTTTTCAGTAGATGAAGTAAAGTTGAGAATTGATGCAATTATGTCAATAATATAGACAAAACACTTTCCTCAACTTCCAAATTACCAGACCACTAAAATTACTTTCTCATTTAAATTATCTGGATACTTTCTCAAAAAAAAAAAAAAAGGAAAAGAAAAAAGAAAACATTCTAGAGATTAGTACTATAAGAAGATTAATATCAAAACCAATTATTTTTCCTAACTGACCATAGTTAACTTTTCTATCAGTTTCCTTCGTGTCTTTTTTCTGTGTGAGCTCATATTATATATACAGTTCTGTATTCTGCTTTTTTCTTTTCATGTTATAGCATAAGCATTTTCCATTTGGGTAAAGTCTTTTTATAACTGATTTTAGTGTTTACATATCATTATAGCACAGCAAAGGACCATAATACATCTAAGAATTCTGTATTTGGAAACATTTAAGTGGCATCTAATATTTTTTATTAAAAATAATAGTGATAAACATCCTTGTACATAAATCAATGTATCTCATGTTTTAAAGCTGTGAGTAAATGATGACATGACTTGAGTAACACAGGTTTAAGTCAGATCCTCTGATGATAGCTGGGCACATGGACACCCACAGTACATTTCTGAGACACCTGTGCTGGTAGTGACTAAGTCTGGCAAGTTAAATAATGAGAGAAAGTTTCCTGTGGCAGCTTCCAGGAAATTTCCTTAAACTATTGACGATGTGTGTATGTCCTTTGCCTCTATTTTTGGACCTTTCTCCATTTTGGACCACAAGACAAGGGCTAAGACCAGGGATGGTGAAGTGTGAAATAAGAGAAATTCTCATTATGGATCCATTGACAAACTGGAAAGAAAGCATTAAAGTTTTGATAAATCTTTTAATGAGATAGTGAATCACCTGTGTTCCATATTGCGTTATGAGAGTGAGGGTGATGCAAAAACTAATTGTGATTTATCTTTATAGAATTTAAGAGAAATCACTGGGTTCAATTCTCTCTCAGTGGGCATTCTGCCATCTCATTTTATGAACAACAAAATATATGTTAGCAAAACAATAGCTTTTAAAATAAAATCAGTTCCAATTCCCAAGTGGTAAATAATTTCTAAAGTTAGAAAACTACACGCAAAGGGAGAAATGGCTTCACGACCTGTATAACTTTGAGTCAGAGTTGCGTGAAATTGTCAAACCCAAACTCTCCCAGGATCTTCCAGTGTTAGTTGATTAGCCAAATGAGCAGGATTATTCAGTAATAGATTGTGCTTTGGGCATTGCTAACACAGCTATGCTCCTGATGAAAACTAACCTCAACATTTGATCCAAGTTCCCTTTGACTAAACCTCCATATAATGATGTAACTTCTCTTTTCAACATAGAAAATGAAAGGGAAAATTGAGATAATTATGTTGGCAATTTAAGTAAAACAAAAAATATCCAGATACTTGAGGTAAAAGGGAATTGGAGGTTTGAACTATGCAGATAACAATCTGAGTTCTCAATTTCACTTCGCCAAGAATACAAAGCATTTTCTAAATGAAGTTTATTGAACAGAGATTTCCAAATATTGTGTCTAGTACCCAAACCAATTCTCTCCTTGCTATCTCAGCAAAAAGTGGTATTAATCAAGGCAATTTTATTTCTCCTGTATTACTCAAATTTGTAAAGATCAGGCAAGATATTCTCACAAACATGCAAGTATAACATATTTATCCAGTTTCCACTTCCTTTGAGTCTCTGGAGGAGACAAGTCACCATCATGAGAAACATGGGTAACAGCTACCAGAGATTTGTTTTTGTCTTCTACCAATGAACACATGCCCTCTGAGAAGCTGCCTCTCCTCCCAGGGTTCAACACTTTCCTTGTTGCATTTGCCCCCTATTATCTATGCTTTGCTGTTTTATGCTTTTCACTGCTTCTGGCCTGTTGTCATTGCTGATGACATCACTCACTCCACTCCTTGGCCACCTGCTCCCTCAACACCAACCCTGCAGGATGTAGGTCCAATCAGTACTTTGATGCCAGGCCTCCTTCTGCCCTGTTTCTCATGAAAAGGAGAGATAATTCAGCATAATTTCCAAGCACATCACTTCCCACCCACTCATAGCCCTGTTTTTTCTCTGTTTGATCCATACTTTTAGCTAATATGAAAGAGGACCCTCTGCTCACAAGCCCTTACCTCCAGACATTAAATATTTCAAAGTAATTTCAAGAGGAGATTATCAAATTTTGTAATATTTTTATTTATTCATTCCCTTAATATGGCTGGGTTCATTAGGACGTTTTATATTTTAGTAGTGTGACACATAATAATGGTGTGTTTGCAAGTTTACCAGCTGTGATGGTTCATTTTGTGTCAACTTGACTGGGCCACAGGTTGCCCACACATTTGGTCAAACATTATTCTGGGTGTGTCTGTAGGATGTTTCTGGATGAGACCTAACATTTGAATACATGAGTAAAGCAGGTTGCCCTCTCTAATGTGAGTGGACCCTATTTATTCAGTTGAAAATCAGAATAGAATAAAAAGTCTAACTCTCCCATGACTACAAGAAGTTCCTCCTGCCTGACTGCCTTTCCAACTGGGACACTGGTTTAGTCCTTTCTTTGGACTAGAACTGAAATAAGAGCTCTACTGGGGCTTGCGCCTGCTGGCTTTCAGTCTGGAAACACATCACCAGCTCTCCTGTGTCTCCAGCTTACCCACTGCAGATCTTGGGATTTGTCAGCCTCCATAATAATGAAAGCTAATTCCTTAAAATAAATCTCTTTATATGCATACATCCTATTAGTTCTTTTTCTCTGGGGAACCCTAATACACCAGCCAGTCCTGGTACTTATTTTGTTTACTACCCAAGTATATACTTTTCTAAATTACAAATTTGGATTGTTTTGTATTAAATGTCTCCCCACTCGTAAATAATTGAGGAACTTCATTTTCAAAAGCAATTGATCTATGGTCAGCTTCCTGTTTTCCTTATAAATATAAAATGAAAGCAAATGTGTGCTAGCCTAATAGCCTCTATCATCTTGACAGAAGGCTCTCCATCCTGTTACAGTTCTCTCCTGCCAAGTGCTCTGAGAATCCTTCAAACTACACCTTGTGTGTGTTCACAAATGTCTCCCATATACTTCTTCTCCTGCTCTTTTCTCACTTCTAGAAGTTCACTGCCTTACATTTTCCACAGCTAACAATGCCCCTTCATGGACCATCATGTCTGTGATGCTCCCAAAGCTAAGTGCCAATACTTGAGGACCCAGACTAGTACTCAGTTCTGTAAGATTGGATTCTCCCTGAGTGAGGAAAAGGATTTCTCCTCAACTCTTTGTCATATTCCAAAACAAGGGGTGGCAGCCAGACCCTGACGGAACTGTCATGAGAGACTATGCAACTCTGGGCAGAAGCTGAGCTCCTGTCTTTCCAGTTTTTACTTTCCCCTCAAAGTTTTAAAAATCGTAGGCTCAGTTTTAGTCAGAGCTCAGACACAAGGTAAAGTACTTCTTTACCCTCAGCTGGTCTCATGAATATGCTCCCAACACAGGGCTGCGGAAGTTCAGTGTGGAGAGGGCAGGCTTCATCTAGCCTAGAGCTACTGCCCTTCCCTGCATTAGGCAGCTTATTTTAAGTTTAACCTTTCTTAATGTTTGTGAAAGTGGAATAGAATGGTGAGAGTAGGATGGAGATATATCTTAAAAACAAAATAAATTAAAAAAAAATCAGTTTTAAAGATACCACTTACAATTATTTTATTGAACAATCATCTTTTACATGTCATCAGACCTTACCCCTGAAATGCAAAAAACAGTTTGAGGTATTAAAACTGAAGGAATATTTGCACATATTTTGTAAGGTTTTCACGCTATAGTAACTGGAATATTCAGTATAACTAAATACTACATATAACTGCAGGTTTATAAGAACAAAGCTATTTAAAGCAAACCTGGTTTGTCTCATTATAGCTTTGGACATCCCACTTATGTTATAAAGGTGGCAAAAAATAATATGAGATTTAAGTTACTTGCAAACTGATATGTGCATCATTCAGTTTTAGAAAATGGTGTATAGAATTTAACGGGTTAATAGCTGAAACAGTAACTATCCCCAAAGCACAAAAATCAAACTGACAAACCAGTTTCAATGATATAATGTACTATTCACAGGATTTAATCCTTGGATCAACGGCAATTCACTTAAAGTATCTGAAATAGATTTACCAGAATATTTCAATACTATCCGTGTACATGGAGGGTCACATAAGTAGCATGGTCCATATTTTTTTCTGTAAGATTTCCCCCTTTAAATCTGTAAATAAATTGCTAACACTGATAAAGTTCAGAATGGTCACTTCAAAGTTATTTTGAAGTAACATGAGGAAGAGGAGATTGGCTTTTTAAGTGTTTGTGACTCTGTTATATTGAAGAAGTTATCAGGAGACTTTTCAAAACCTATTTCCCTCTGACTGTGTCTATACCTTGAAAGAGAAAGTTGAGGCAATTATATAGCTAATTAGAGTAATATAAATACTTTCTTCTGAACTATTCAGGCAAATTGGAGAAAAGGTATTTTTTTGATGTGATGATTGATTTAATTATTAACATCAGAGCATAGACACTTCATTTGAAACAAATCTAAGCTTGCATAGTGATTTGCATGTAGTATACTAAAATTAAGTCCTGAATAATAGGTCACAAATGTTGAATAACAATTAGTCTCCACAGCAATTTCTACAGTTATAAACAGCACTTCTAGTAGCTGCACATGCTAGGTACTGGTGTTTGTCATTGAATTGTTTTATTTGTTCCATTGTGTAGATAGATTGAACAAAGGGAAGCTTGATTTTTTGGTAAGAATATAAGCTTAAAACTTGGCTTTTTAAAATTTTTTGCAAAACTGATAAAAAATAAAATGCTTCTTGCAGTTTACTATTAGAGGAAAATACTGTTTCTTCCATGGCAATCATGATGCCTTAAAGGAGACACCTGCAAAAGTAGGCCTCCTCCAGACTACATGTTTTGTCTACATCAGAAATTTGTAAGAAAAGCGACATTTTTTTCATGGAGACTCCAACAAAATTCTGCAAAAACATTTAACCTGTTTCCTCTTTGTTCTAGGGGAAAAAAATGGAACTTAGGTTTTTAAAAACCCACATAGGAACGCTATGCTTGTGTGTGGGGACGATGTCCTCTCCCACAACTACTGTTTGTTTTCCCATGTAATGGTTCCTGAATTAAGAATAATCTTTGCAGTCTGGAAGCACAGCTGCAGTAGCAGCTGAGTGGTTTACTTGGGAGCAGAGGGAACACGTGTTGATGTTCTCACTTGAACCAGGAGAAAACGGATCACAGATTCTTCTATCAAATGAATAACGACCTAGTGTCAGTATCCCTTAGAGGTTAACGACTAATTTTAGTGTTTGCTACACAAATGGATGCTCCCTCCAGGTTAGGATACAATACCCAAGAGTTGTATTTTTGTTTTTCAAATGAATGTTTTCAGACACGGAAATCAGCCAAAAACATAGGAGGTCATAGAATGAGAAATTAAATCTCAGGTGTCCAAATTGGCTGGTCCAATTAAAACCTATCCCCAAGCTGCAATTATCTGGAATAAAACAAAAAGCAACTTTCATTTCAGGACCACATATGCAAATCTAATTGCCATCACAGTGGATTTTAATGCTTAGGGGATAAAATTGCAACAAATTTATTTTTTTTCCTATGGTCACCTTTTATCTATAAAACCAATAATCAAAAGAAAGTTGAAATGAAATGAAATAATGACGGATCCTGTAAGATCTAAGTCCTGAATGTTGTTTGCTTATTTTCAGTATACCCACGGGTGCCATACAAACAGGCCTGACCACAAACGTAAGTGACAAGAGCAATACTATCAAAATTCTCTCACTATTGTCATGCTAACAAGCTACACTGAAGTCTATCAAACCTACAAATATCAAATGCTGGCTGGCATTCAATTCAGATAGAACACTGACTGCAGTCACTGTAGACCCAGTGAAGCCTTCTCCCGAGAGCAGGGGACTGTGACAGTCAGTCAAAGACTGGGTTTCGTACGCCGTTCAATACCAAACTGGTGGGTGCCTTCCTGTGTAGAAGGGCCAGTAAGCACAGGAGGAGGGAAAAGCTCATGACTCCCAGAATGACCATTCCTGATATCAGTGCACTGGTGATGGCGTTCAGCTGGAAATGAGGTTCGTTTGGAGAACCTGCAAGTAATAAACACAATGGGAAGGTCCAGTATCAGATTTAACTCACCTTATCCCAATTTAAACCTGCAAAGCATCTGTCATCAGTATCTTATAGAATAATGGCATGAGACAATTATGCTACAATTTAGTTGACTATAATTCAATTCAATACCCAAAGGATTGTATGGTTTAGAGGCCTGGTATCCCCCAGGCAGCCAAAAAAAGTCATCTATAAAATGCTCTAAAAATTGACCAACAGGTTGCATACGAGTTCAGAAATCCTCAGTGAACTGTTATTTAAAATATAACAAGCTTGTTAAACCAGAGCTCATTATTTTTAGCTGATTACAGTTTTGTAACTGATCACCAAAAAATACTTAACATTTAAAAAAATTATACTTTAATTTTCAATATATGTTAATTATCTTACCAAGCTGTGAATTGTTGGTTGGAGTCTCATCTGGGGGGAAGAAAAGAAAAAGAAAAGCAATATTGTGTCTCCAAATATTTATCTATGTCTGTTATAATTCTATAATTACTTTTTACCTATATATCCCCTCACCTTCACCCACAAGCTCCCTCGGAAAGGCAATAACGAAAGTCCTGCTAAACCGTCTGCTTTCTCATTTCCTGTTCCAGTGTCCAAGATTTCATCATCTATCTATTCCTCCAAGCCCACACCCTGCTACTGCCCTGGGCATACAAATAAAGTCGTAAAACATACTGTGCTGTATTCTTTCCTGCTGACTTTGCTTCATCATTATCTCTCCAGTCAGGTTAGTGGGGGCAGTAATTGTTAACAGCTATTACATTTTTTAGAGCCCTATAACCTGCCACTTATTATTCTGTTATAGAGAAACATTCATTATTTAGTGCCACTCTATTTTAAGTGATGCCAATTTGCCCATTATAATCTGCAAAAAACATCAAGTTCCAAGAAAATAAATTCGTACTTAAGAACTAAATGAAAAGAAAAATCACTCCTGAACTTGAGTTGCAGTTTTATCTGCATCTGTTAAGTAAAAGACTGAAGCCATTGATTTTTCACTTTTCCCTGACAAACATAATAGATGCAATGAACACATTCACTTGGTTTCCCAGTTTTTGTTACCCATTTTGTAATCACATAGCAATTAACCCTTGAGCATACACAATGAGTGGATATTTGTGTTTAAATACATGGGTGTATATGTTCCTGTGAGTGTTTGTTATTTGAACCATAAAATGTGTGCAGTTGGCTGTTTGATTCTGGAGTATAAATACTATTACAATTAATATGTGTGTAATTTCATACAGTTTACAAAGTGCTGTCTCATATGTTATCACATTTAATTCTCATAATTGCCATATGGTTTAGATATTATTGCTACTCCCATTTTACAGATGAAGAAACTTCCATCTGTCACAGCCTCCATGATAAAGTAAACACAGGCTTAAATAAAAGCTCAGTTTCAGAGTCCCTTTTCTAAAATAATATAAACTAGCAAGTGTGGAAATATTTTTAGTAAAAGAGATAAATATCTCAAACTATAAAACTCCAGGATTAGTATTTGAAATAATTGATGGGAGAACCTGGTGAGATATTTATAAAACATCTGATGCCATTTCTTTTCAGACATATGGGTCTTGGCAGAAATGATGGTTCTGCTGTTTGATCCTGAAGTATAATGTCCAAAATAAATAGAGCACTCATTCATAGGATTCTTTAGAATGGTGCAGTGCATTGCTATAGGACAAAAAGAAAAAAAATACAAATTTTCATTATAAGACATCCTTAGGAAAATCCTAACCTCCAACCAATATGATCCTACAAGGACAATAGCTTCTCATGGAAATAGACGGGATGTATGCACTGTGATTAATTCAACCAAAAGATCTGTGTGCCCCTTTCCCAAAACAAGCTGCCTCACTGGAACATGGAAGAGAATATATAATGCTATAAAATTCCTTTTTAAAAGTTATTCTTTGCTTAGGAATTACATTTATTTGCTCTTAAAAAAAAGGTTTCTATTAAAGAATAGAAAGTTTCCTCCTATGTATCCCAAATTAAGCAAAAGTTCTATGATTGTACGCCCCCACTATTTTCTGCAATTTCAGGTTAACAAAAGAAGTCAGAATATCCACTCCTCTCTTACATTACCAAAGCGCTATTGTAAGAACAACATCCCAGCTGTCATCTACAAGGACTTGGCTGTGGACAAAATCTCTGTGTGGGTACAAAGATGCCAAATAAGCCACATCAGCTGCAGGCTCCAGGACTCTGAAAATCTGAAAGCATCCTACCTTTGGTAGATGGCTGAAATCAGAGTGTGTAATATTTGAATATTGTTTGGAATTGTACTCGATACTGAATAAACTTAGAATAAATTTATCTGTTATCTTCTGTTTCTGGTATCCTGCAGTTAGGATCATTGCAATTAAAAGAAAATCAAAGAACTGTCTAGAAAAGGAGGTAGTGATTTTTCAGGAGCTTTTTGTCACCACACACTTCTGTTTTTCTTTCACACCGACTTGGTCTTATACACATGTACACTAAAAGAAACCTTATGGAATATGAACAGATTGGAATTTTAAACTTGGTGAGCTCTTCAAAAAACATATAGCTAGCTGAGGACCCAAAGGAGGAAAGTGACAGTAGCAATACCACAGCTGTTTAAAAGCCAGAAGTGGAAGATAAATTGTCATTCTCTGCTTTTCTCTCAGATAAGTAGCTGAAATAAATGGAAAAGGTGAACATAAGTGCAAAGATATATGCAGAATGAATATTTTTCCTTTCTAAGCACAAACTATTTTTTTAAGTCTTCAATTTACCTTTGTGGTAAAATGAACCACATATTTCAGGTTGAGAATCTCAAAACTTTTTACTCTCCACTGGGTCATGTTCGTTAATAGTCTATCTCTACAGTTGAATTCTAAGATTCCCCAAGGGCAAAGACTGTGGCCTGTTCTCTATTTTATTCCCAGTTCCTAGCAGAGTGGCTGTCCCTGTAGGGGCTAAATAAATATGCTAGAATGAATTATTCAATGAAACTCAATGACACTAGTTGGACAAGAGTTTGGCTTGAACTTCTCCATATGAATTTTTGTAAAAAAAAAAAAAAAATTAGGTACTACTATTTTCCAGTGATTATACCTTTAAATTTCCAGGATTGTACCCCATGATAAGCATTTCCCTACCGAATAGTTTTAGCATTTCAGAGCTTAAAATAAGAACATTTCATGAATTTTGAGGATTTTGAATTCTGAGGATATGAATATTTTCCTAAGTCAACTGAAAAAAGGATTAACAATGTCGGGTAAAAATAACCACAACGGGTTTGACTTCATTAAAGTAAAACAAAACAAGACAGAAGTTCTGAGGTTTAACAACTTATTAAACTTGATCCAAGCCAGATGTCTAGGGGAAGGTGTGGTTCAGTGAGTAAACAGAGCAAAAATTCCAAGTATCAGAGAGCTTTGAAGAGAGCAAATCAAGCCTGAAACTGGACTTGTCTGTGAAAATCAGCCATAGGATCTGCAGAGATAAATTCTAGCTGAATTAAGGTAAAAAATAAAACTAAGAGAAGAAGGTAGCCCTGGTCATTAAGCTGGACATTAAATTTACATAGAATTTGCCTGTGAATGACTATATCTTGATTTCTGAGTTGTATTTGTATGGAATTTAAAATTAAAAATTTTTAAGGATATTATAGTAGTATTATGAAATCATTGTAATACATGGTCCTCTAGGCAGTGAGGCCACCATGATATCCAAAAATAAGGACCATTCTACTGCTATTTATCAAAGTTACAAAACAAAAATCCACAGAGAGTGAGAGAGAAATGAAGGAAGGTTAGCCATTATCCTTTGGGGGCTTTACTGGTGGAGAGACCAAGGTGACTAGGACAGAACCTTAGTGCATTGGGAAATAAATGTCATCTTTGAGGTGGAAACAAGTCGAAATTGGAAAGGAAGAAATCCAGGCATGACATCAGAGGTATTGTTATCAAAGGCATTAGCTCTTTGAGGTTTTAACATATATATTTCGGATGACTAGATGTGATGTGAAAGAAACCTATAAACCTGGATAGCTGGTAAGCTACAGTAGGATTAGAAACTGCTCCTTGGTAATCTTTACTGGGATTTGGAGATCTTAATAATTTTGGTCTGTCTTAAAATTATATTACACTAGTAAATTATTTAAAATTTGTAATATTTAAATTTGATTTCATCCACGTAAGAAGGAAGCAAAGAAGTTAAAAAGGAGGAAAAGTCATCTACTCAACGTGGACAGAGAAATGTCACTTTCAAGGTTCTTTTCTTATGGCAAACTGACTCCAGATATGCTCCATAGAAATAAGAATATTTTTTATTGTGCCTATCCCAAAGCATTCCTAATTATTGGCAGCAAGAGCTGAGTTTCCATGCAGTGTAATTCTATGAGCTATTTCCAACAGCTAGATAGAGATAAGGATTGGGCCTCTGACAAACCACAAACTAGTCATTTTCAAACCATTCAAAACATACCAAACCCTCAGGGAGTACAGACTAAGTTTGAAATTTTATATTTAATAAATTTCTGTATTATTTAAAGGGCCTCTTAGGCTTTTTAAAAAAATTCTAATATGTGTACACAAACACAAAGGAGTGAATAATTAAAGCAATTTTCTGTATTTTTTAGGTCAAAATGACTTTTGCTTAATCACCTCTTTCAGACAAAACTTTCTTTTCATTGTGGGACAGGAGGTGTGGGAGAAAAGGTAAAGATAATCTAATTGAAACATAATAATAGCCTACGGCTATTATAAAATAGAGAAAAATTATTAGCATATAGTCCAAATCAGAATTCTGCTTTCCTTTTTAGACAAATTTAGAACCATAGAGTTAGAAAGAATCTGAAAGGCTACTTTTTCAAACCCTTTATTTTAAAAATAAAGAAAGAAATGCTTGCCCAGAGAAGTGGAGGAAAATCCCAAGTTCCACAGTTTATTAGGACAAAAGCTGGAACTAGAACCAGTTTTTCAGACTTCAGTGTGTGTTGTTTACAATGCATGTCTGTTTTATCCAACTGATTCTGGATATCTCCAGGTTCACGCTTGTAAAGCAGTATCCCTTTGGAGAGTGTGTGTGTATGTGTATATGTATGTGTACGGACATGCATGTACAAATATTTGTATACATGAAAATGTATTGTATAAACAATTGTGTCCATTAGAGTCATGAGCACAAATGAGTGCACTGGTGGGTGTATTTACATACTACTACAATTCAGGATCCTGGGAGGGAGCAAATGGTATTCAAACTAGCAATTTAAGGAGATTTAATAGGACTATTTATAAAGATGGAGGGAATTGACAAGAGAAAGTCAAGTTACCTAGGCTATAGGTTAAAGGGAGAGTTTCCAGAACTCTTGAGAGTAGTTGAATGGAGAGAGTTGTCTGGTGGGAGCTGTGTGGACTTCACACCCAACCTCTGACAGTGCCACCTATTGGCCAAGTCCAACCAGAAACTACTTGGCAAGGCAGCTAGGGGATGCAGTTCACAGAGACCAGTATTCAAGGTCAGAGAGAGGCTGGGAAGGGCAGAGTGGATCCGGATGGGCAAATGAAACACGTCCAGCACCATATACTTCTCTGTGTGTGTGTGTGTGTGTGTGTGTGAAGGGAAATGTGGTAAAGAATATTTCCCTTAGTAAGTTGAATAAACAGGAAACTACCATGAAATTAAAGTTGTCTAGCAGTTTATCTTGTCTCACAGTTAATTAGTGCTCTTTAAGAATCACTTTGAGTTCTCCTTAGAAGCCAAGGAACAAGCCATTTTGGAACCGTCTATTACTACACACAAAAGGAGGAGCACTCTTACCACTCCGAGTAATGATGGGCCCTGCAGAAAGGACAGCATTTCCAGAAGTGCTCTGGGGGCTCCAGGTGATCCTCCTCCCCGCATCTCGCCTTTCTCTGTGGTCGCAAATCTAAGGAGTTAAGAAAACAAATGAAATTCCACACCAGCACAAAATTGTTTCTTTATGGCCATTTGGAAAGCAGATTCTCTTAGAAGAGGTACCACATGTTTAATTTTATTCATTTACTTCTGTGCATTTATTTCATTACTTTGCATATAACTGCTACAGTATTTCTTATCCTGGCTTGGGCCGCATTTCTTATTTCCTCCCATTGTAATCGTGCATTGCCTCATTAATTTACATAGCTCAATGGCTCCCCTGAAAAAGAGCTGTGTTTATCAAACTTTTCTACTTTTATTTCTCTCAAGGCTTTAATAAATCTTTCCCTGAAATGCTGGTCAGCACAGAGCCAAGGAAATGTGGAATCTCCATTTAACCCCAACTGATACAGCTACTTAGGACTAAAGCAACTAATGATTGTGAAGAAATGCATGAATTAGAGCACACATATAAACACATTAAAGCTATCTCAAATCAAAAAACATGACTGCATTTTTCTCAGGTTAATATTGCTGTAACACTAGGGGGCCTACTGTCTAGATATTCTACTCTACTCCATAGCCCTACTGAAGGACTGGAAGTTCCCTAGTTACTCTGTTTCATGTGTCTGTGACTTTGACCATCCTTTGGCATGGAATGTCTCTTACACTCTTGATTTTGCCTCTTTGGGGTTCATCTGTCTTCAAAGTCATATCTCTTCCACTGAGCCTCCCAGCCTCTCCTGTTTCATCTCTCTCACAATGATGAATAATGCCTTTTACTACAGCCCATATATATGCCTACCTTTGCACCATAACATTTTGTCATATTTTATGCCATGATTATCTCATGATCCTAAAGGATAAGCTAACTGAATTCAGAACTCATTCATGCATCTCTGTATTACCAGCATAATGCTTGGCACAAGGCGGCATTCAATAGATCTTTCCTGGATGAATGAAAAAATTATACTTCAAACTATTTGACCTGATGCATATCTACTTTCTATGTAGAAATTAGTTCCTAACACTTGATAACTTCAGCTTAGATCAATGCAACAGTTCAGAATAAAGTTGCTAAAAACATACTGGCATAAGGAAGGGGCAGTCATCAGCTCTGCAGAGCTTGGTAACACAGTGCAGGAAGACAGTGGACATTTTCTGATTCTTGTGTTTCACGAATCGGAACACTTCAAAGGAAAAGCGGCCCTGCTGGCTCCTGCCGTTTTCAATGACGGTGGTTTGAGGATCTTTGTCACAGCTACACGTTAGAGAATGTGAAAACGATATTATTGGAAAGTACCAACCTACCGTGACTTGTAAATTAATTTCTGCAGTATTAAGAGTACCCTATTACATTAAGAGCTAACAAAATTATGCCATGTTATCAATACTTAATAGGAGAATAAACTAACTCAACAGATATGTAAGTGACCTAGATCACAATATTTAAGCAGACCAGTTTCTGATTATAATATTATTATCAAATTTTAGAGGAATTATACTTTCATATGGTTCAAAAATCCAAACACTATAAAATATATATAGTAAAAAGTCTCTCCCCACATCTCTGCCCTTGTCCATGCTCTCCCATGTCCACACACAAATCTGCCCGTGGTGACCTCACATGTTACTGCAGCCTCACAGGGCATATGCAAATAGAAGCAGAAGCAATATATTCTCAATGTTCCCCCCTTCTTAAACAAATGATAGCACACTCTCTATATTATTTTGTACCTTACCTTTTTTTAATTTAACAATGAATCTTAGAGATCTTTCCATATCAATATTTAGAGAGCCTCCTTCATCTTTTTCCACAGTTGTACACTATTTCATCATGCACATGTCAGAGTTTATTTAACCTGTGTCCTATTTACATACTCTTGCATTATTTTTGAATCTTTTGCATTTTTACAAAGTAATAATGAATAGTCTTAACACATCATTTTGAACATGTGCTGGGTTATCTATGTATCTGTAGGATCATTCAGCAGATTTTGCCACATCGCCCTCTATAAATATTGTTGCATTTTGTACTGCCCCAGTAATGTATAAAAAATACTTATTTCCCTCAGAGCTACATCAACAAACTATATGTATGAAATTCTGGATTATTCCCTGTTTGGTAGGAACAATAAACTATCACCATATAATATCAATTCACCTTTTTTCTTAGTGTGAATGGATGTGTGCATTTTTCATATATATTAGAGCCATTTGTGTTTCTTTATCTGAAAATTGTTTATGTTCTTTGCTCAAATTTTTATTGTACTGTTGGCCTTTTCCTTAAGATTCCTATAAATTCTTGGTTTTTAGGAAGAGTGGTTCCTTCTTTGTTACATAAGTTGTAAATTGTCTTAACTTTGTTGTTTGGCTTTGGACATTCCTCCCAGTGTGTGTGTGTGTGTGGGGGGGGGTGGGTGGGTGGGTGGGTGTGGGTGTGTGTATGTGTGTGTGTTTGCACACAGAAATTTTATTTTTACGTAATTTAAAATATTTTATTTTATGGCTTCTAGTATGTGGGCTAAACAGGATTTTCCTTACTCCAAATTTCTAAAGATATTCTGCATGCTTTCTTCCATCACTTTTAAAGCTGTAGTTTTTACATTTAAATTAATCTATTTAAAGTTTATCATGGTGAGCGAAGTACAGATCCTATGCTATTTTTTTCCTTAAGATTATCTACTATCCAGCACTATTTTTAAAAATCTCTGTCAATCCCACTGATTTGCATGTTACCAAGCTCTGTCATATAGTAAATTCCCATGTTTTGGATCTATTTTTCAACTTACTATTCTAAATTTTTGTCTATGTGTCTAGCCTCACATAATATCATACCCCTTTAATAACTTTAGAGCTTCCATTAACTGTAATATCTGGTAGAGCCATACCCTCCTCATTTCGATGTTGATTTCCCCCTTTCTTTGGCATTTTATGGATTTTTTGTTTATCCCTTTTTTCTCAATTCAGTTAGCTTGTGATTCTCTGTTCTTGTGGGTATGCATTTCTCCTGACTTTTCTGGGATCTATGGCAGTGGGACCCCTCAGCAATCACTTTTCTTCCTTGCTTCTCCTGCCACTTCTTCCCACTCTGCTTCCTGCCAGCCTTTTCCTGCTCTGTTTTGTCTTGATCTTAACTGCTTTTATCAACACTAACACATATTTTGGAATTTCTAGGTTTTCTTTTCCTCCTTATCTCACTGAAAATGGCACTTAGGGGACTTTTTTTAGTTATCCATTTCAGTCTCTATAGTTTCCAAGAAGAAAACTGAAAGAATTAAGCTGAAGCTATAGTCATACCAGAAGTCTGATGATCTTATTCTAGATTATCAATACGTAATCATTATAGAAATTTTGGAAAATAAGAAAAATGTCAAAACAAAATGATCCACAATCTCACTGTGCATAAATAACAAAGGTGAACCTTTTGATGTATTTCCTTATAGTCTTTTCTATCATGTATTACATAAATGAAGTCAACTGTACAATCGTGTATGCTAATTCTTTCATTTCATATTTTAATACATTTAAATTTTAAAGAACCACATATTTCTAAAGATAGAAATATCAAGAAGACAGAAGGGGAAGAGATAAAATAGAACCAACTATTTTTTTCAATTTTATAAATAATTTTATATGATTATTATGTCTGTGTGAGCTTTCAACTTACTGGTTCTCCATAATTCACCTACCCATTTCCCTACTGCTGAACATGCAGTCGATTCTCATGTTTTACTATTTTAAATAGCACTGATAGACAAGAAAGTCATAAATATTTTAGAATATGCTTCCCATTTCACAAAAGTAGAATCAAAGGATATGAAATCTTTTAAGGTTTTTTGATACATACTGATATTTTTTCCCAAAAATGTTAACCAAATTAACACTTCCAGCAATAGAATATGAGTGTCAGTTTGATCATACCCTCTGAGTATCATCTTAACGTTGATTAGCCAGTAAAACTTATTCTTCTGGTTTCCCATCATATTACTCCCATCATATGTCAATAAGTGGCAGTGATCAGAGCCAACTGCATTTTATAAGCATGATGAGAAGCCATTGCTTGGCTTTCAAGTCTGTTCCCCTGTCAGATAAAAATGCTGAAAAGGAACTGAGATGATTGAATGTTTTTATGATCAATGTCCCCTTTCCCCAAATGTAGATTACATTCACTCTATCACTGTCTATTGGGGAATGAAGTTGAAGTTATTGGCTCTGATAAAAAAGGAGTGGTAGGCTGTATTACACTTTCATATTAAATACTGATAAATTAAGAAAAGCAGTTTGGGGTCTAAATTATCTAGCCCATTACTTTAATTTTATTCTCCTTTTGACATACCATGAGACAGTCTAGTTTTGGAAAAATAGTACCCTCTCACCGCCTTTCTCATATTGTCAAGAGTACCCTAGCCATGCTTTTCCTAAGACAGTGAAATATTCCCACATGACCTAAACATTAATAAAACATCTTTGATGGAGTAAACTTACTTGTAACTGTCATTCAACAACAGCCTTATCAGCATTTCATGTTGAAAATTGTTCTCCACTTTTATAGTTCCAACTATATAAGGACTAAAAGTTCAAAATGTAAAACTTTAAATTTAAAAGCTATAAAAGTACCCTATAATTTGTTTATCTGACTTAGCTTTTCTCTTTTAATTATCTATAGTAGGGTTATTGCTATCAATACAAGACTTAGACACTTACCTAAGGAAGAGATCATATCGAATATCATCATTTGGGTTCCCTGATGGGGTCGTGTAGCAATAATCCATTAAGACATTCCATCTGCAGGAAGAGGTAAGAATAATCTAGAGTCAGAATCTCCTTTTGGATATTAGTTACTAATCCAAGAGAAGTAGATATTGACAAACATCTTATCCCAGGGAACATAGTTTTATATTATTTGCAGAGACTTCTTGTTTATTAAAATTTTCTCCTAAACCCGAAGTATTTAAAAGTCTGCAACAAATTGCTGTCACACATCAAGAATCACATACAACCAAGAATAAAAATGCCAAGAAGACAAAAAGGGAGAAGGTAAAGTAGAACCAGATTTCTAGAGTGTACTAATCTCTTCAGGATGCAATGTTTAAATAATAATATATGAGAAACCCAAAATAAACTATTTACATGCTACAATTTTTTTATTAGGGCAGAAATGGATCTTTACTTTTGAATTTCCTTTCAATTTTGATCATTCTGAATCCTCTAAGTGTCAAATGAAACTTGATTGATTTTGTTATTTTGCAGAGATGTTTCTGAAGATCGTTTTATATAATTTTGGCCCAGATTCTTATGGGGAGAGTTCTTTTGTTTTTTAATAAACTTTTATTGAATAGTAACACACATAGAAAATACATGAATCATAAGTGTTCACAAAATGACTGCATCTGATTAATCATCTTTCAGATGAAAAACATAGAACATTCTGGTATCCCAAAAGCTCTCCCCATGCCCTCGTCCAGTCACTACCCCTCCTTCTTTATGGGAAGAATCGCTATTTTCCAATTAATGACATAAAGTGGGTGTCACCCTTTAATCCTTGTAATTTGGGGTTTTTTTAGATAAATTTATGTATTTATTTATTTATTTTTGGCTGCGTTGGGTCTTCATTGCTGCACACGGGCTTTCTTTAGTTCCGGGGATTGGGGGCTCCTCTTTGTTGCAGTGCGCGGGCTTCTTATTGTGGTGGCTTCTCTTGCTGAGGAGCACGGGATCTAGGCGCACGGGCTTCAGTAGTTGTGGTACATGGGCTTCAGTAGTTGTGGCACACGGGCTCCACAGCTCAGGATCAGTAGTTGTGGAGCACGGGCCCATTTGCTTCACGGCATGTGGGATCTTCCTGGACCAAGGCTCGAACCCGCGACCCCTGCCCCGGCAAGCGGATTCTTAACCACTGCTCCACCAGGGAAGCACCCTTGTAATATGTTATTTCTACTTATTAGCATTTCTTTTTTTTTTAATTTAGGCAAATATGTAAAATATATGTATTTTTACATATAGGCAAACCAAAAAATATAGGCATTACCTTCTAAACAAAAAATTGGAATACATGATTTGATATACAGTTTGACAGGAGGCAGAATATTTGAAATCATCCCTCTCTTGGAGAATCTGAGGTCTATGGCTTCAGAAGGTGTGGCGATTGTGGGTGGGTGGGCATTCAGGTGGGAAGAGTAATGTGAACAAAGGTGTGAAAGACCAGAAGGGACTAGGAAGGTCCTGGGTTCATGCGGAGCGTCAGGTGGGAGGGCTGAGATGCGAGCAGCACGGAGACACTGGAAAATCTTGACAGGAGCCTTAGGTGCTGACATTTTTGAGGGAGGAGCAGCAGGATGAAGGAAGGTCACAATCCCCAGTCTGGCTGGGATGTTTTGGGGTGAATGTGCTAGAGAGTGCAGGAGGTGGTTTGAGATGCTGACAGCTGGACCAGAGGGTGGCTGCATGGGTGGAAGAATAATAGACATAATAGGCGAGGTACTTGGGAAGGAAAACTGAAGAATAAAATGGGGTGGATTCCTGAGAAGTTTTTTGGACATTTAAGGTGAGGTTATGTCACCTTAATATAGGGTCGAGTTTCCCATTTTGGAAACTGGGAGAACAGTGGTTCCACTGTTATTCTTCTTTTCCTTTAAATACGTGTCTTTTCCCTTGATTAATCTCACCCCATTCTGACTGCTCTCTTGTTTGGAGTGATAAGGATAGATATCAGACAGAGATGGCACTAGATCAGGGCCAGGAACACTGGGTAGGATTTGAGCTGGCAGAAATAAAATGGAAGGGTGTGTGTGAGGCAAGAGGGTGGTGGTGGAGAGAGAGTCTGGTCAGAGGCAATGGCATAAGCCTTGCTATGTTTGGCAAAAATGCGTAGCCATGGATGGCGAGAGTGAAATGTCTGTACCTGGTTAGGGCAGGAGACGTATTAAAATCCCTAGGGCAGTGGCCTCAGGCCTATGCCCCTAACTACATTGTTTTTCTTTTAATTAATTTATTTATTTTAGCTGCGTTGGGTCTTCATTGCTGTGCACGGGCTTTCTCTATTTGCGGCGAGCGGGGGCTACTCTTCCTTGCTGTGCGCGGGCTTCTCACTGTGGTGGCTTCTCTTGTTGCAGAGCACGGGCTCTAGGCGTGTGGGCTTCCGTAGTTGTGGCTCACGGGCTCTAGAGCACAGGCTCTGTAGTTGTGGCGCACAGGCTTAGTTGCTCCGTGGCACATGGGATCTTCCCGGATTAGGGCTCGAACCTGTGTCCCCTGCACTAGCAGGCGGATTCCCAACCACTGCACCACCAGGGAAGTCCCCCCTAACTACTTCTTTAAGAGCCATTGTTTAGCATTTCTAAATGGAATGGCAATGGCAATATTTTTTTTAAAGTGAATGAGCTAACTTTATGATTCATGAGGCTTTAGGCAGCCAAAATGTTTTAACCAACAAAAGATAAGGGTTTGAAAATACCTGCCGTCCAGATTAGTGGCTTGTACAGCTGCAAATACTTTGGTTTTCAAAGGTAATCCTATACTCGGGATAATTAACTGCTGACTGTAGGTTGAATCCTAATGATGAAAAAAATAAGCAATTAATCCATCATTGCCTTCCCAACAGCACATTTACTTAAGACAATAATGTCCTATAAAAGAAAAGGGGGCAAATCAACATCAATTTACAGAACCAACTCCAAAAAGGACCTAGTTAATCCTCTAGTTTTTGGCAGAACTGTTCTTAAACCATATCCAAGTAACAAATTCATGCATAAATCTTTTTGTGTCCATAGTTTACCATTTATGATGATTAATGTTCAGTGTATTGAAATTATAAGCAACGGTTACTAGTCAGAGGTTAGTATTTAGTTTGTCTAATATTCAGCTATCAATATTCAGTTTACTTAAATTCATATTCCAGTTATTTAAATTATATTAGTGGCTAATATTCAGTTTATTTAAATTATATCTGCTTCAGTTTAAGCCCTTTGCCATTGGAGATGTAAGTCTTTACACTTTAAATAATGTGTCTCGTTTACCCAAAGTCACTTACCTGGCAATTTGAAATTACCAAAATTTAATAAAAAAACCTAAAAAGAGACCAGTATGGTCTCTGAGTTGCCAAAATGCTTGGCCTGGAATTCCTGTACTAGACTACATGGTAAGGACTTATAGAAGGGTGTCTTAGGACTTCATTTCTACCTTTTACCCTTAGTTTAGACCAATTCTGGAGAGTTTATTTATATCACTTCCCAATCTACAGTAGATGAAAGCAGCAAATTAGAAATTGAGAAGTGACAGCTTTAATTTGATAGTAAAGAAAAACAGAAAAAAAATGTGGAATAAAGAAAAAACTTCTCAAAATCTAAGCTGTCAAATCATTTAGCATGGAGGCAAATTGTTTCCCCCAAATTCAGTAACTCTGAAGATAATGCTATTTCATTGAATTTTTAAAATTAAAACAATAATAATTTGGATGCTTCACTTTTGAAAAAGTTGCATTCATGTGGAATATTTCATTCTCAAATAAAGCCTGATAAATGAGGGATTATATGCTGTACTTATTTTCTATATTTCTGTGATAAATGATAATAGCTCCTCTAACCATTTCTGATAGGTAGTATTTTTATTTCATTATCTTTCTGGCTCCCTTTTCCAACTTCTCCAAGTTATCCACATTTCATTAACTATACAGCTCTTTCATCTTGTATTTGCATCAATATTGCCCAGAAGAATGCTTACTTTTTTTTACAAGTATTATACTACAAAGTCATTTGCAAGTGATATGACTCAGCTGTGGTTTAATCATGACATCAAATTTATTCTTCTAAAAGGTAATCTTTTGATTTTATTTTGTTTAGTTGCCTTTACTCCTGTTAGTACAATATTGTCCCTAAAATCAATTATATTTATTTTACATTTTTTCCTCAACTTTAAAAATAATTCATAATTACCATAACCCAGTTTTAGATTTACTCTGTTTCTTTACCTGCTCAGAAGACATTATTAATTAGGTACAATTCAAATTCACAAGGTCATCTTCACTTTCAGTTTCCACAGAGGAGAAAACTGATCTATTTATACCATGTAAAAATAAGGTCATAGTTCAACTTGAAGTAAACTCCATATATTAAAATCACACAGTCAATAAATGTCATTATTTATTATAAGTAAAATTTTCCTAAGTACATTCACTGAATCCCAGAACACATAGAAATAAACAACTGCACTTTTTCCTACCCAAGTAACTAACTATAGAATAAGAGCAGTAGGTATGTAATATAATTTTCATCATTCCTAAGGGTTAGAAATCACAAACTTTGCAGGTAAAACAGGAAAATATGGCCCCTAATTGTTGTAAAATAATACTTAGTTTGAAATGCTGCAATAAAATTACATTTGGGTAGCTAAATGTTAGTGTTCCAAACAAATAATAAATATGGTTTGGGATCAATTCGTCAAAGTATACAAAATTTTTTTCAGTATAAATTACTAGTTTTTTAATGTCCTGTAAGATGGCAAAATACTACAATGGTGCCATGTTAAGAAACTAGTTTGGGGCAGTGAAGCTCTCCTGTATGATACAGTAATAATGGATGCATGTCATATACATTTGTCAAAACCCATAGAATATATAATGTGAAGTATTAACCTAAATGTAAACTATGGACCTTACTTAATAATATGTCAGTATTGGTTCATCAATTGTAACAAATATGCTCTATGACCCATAATACAAGGTGCAGATAACAGAGGAAGTTGTATGCAGGCACTGGAGGTCTATAGGAACTCTCTGTACTTTTTTTTTTTGGCTGTGTTGGGTCTTCATTTCTGTGCGAGGGTTTTCTCTAGTTGTGGCAAGCAGGGGACACTCTTCATCGCAGTGCGCGGGGCTCTCATTGTCGTGGCCTGTCCTGTTGCGCAGCACAAGCTCCAGACGCGCAGGCTCGGTAATTGTGGCTCACGGGCCCAGTTGCTCCGCGGCATGTGGGATCCTCCCAGACCAGGGCCCGATCCCGTGTTCCCTGCATTGGCAGGTAGACTCTCAACCACTGCGCCACCAGGGAACCTCTCTCTGTACATTTTAGGTCAACTTTTCTGTAAATCTAAAACTGCTCTAAAAAAATTAAGTCTGTTAATTTTTAAAACACTGATTTGTAGGGAAGTGGTTGAATTTTATTAAATAACTGGTTAGTAAATAACTTTTAAATTTTAATGTATTAATTCAACCATTAGTAATACTTTCATTGCAAATTGGTTAAAAATGAGAAGGATTGGGCTTCCCTGGTGGCACAGTGGTTGGGAGTCCGCCTGCCGATGCAGGGGTCACAGGTTTGTGCCCTAGTCCGGGAGGATCCCACATGCCGCGGAGCAGCTGGGTCCATGAGCCATGGCCACTGAGCCTGCGTGTCCGGAACCTGTGCTCTGCAACGGGAGAGGCCACAACAGTGAGAGGCCCACGTACCGCAAAAAAAAAAAAACAAAAAAAACAGGATTTTGGCACTATGTATTTCATTTATATTCTGATATCAATTACCTTTGTACCATAGAATTAAAATCTTAAGGTTATCATCAAATTACAGACTTTTATTTGGCATTAAGATTCTAGAAACTCTTTGAAGGATTAGGTCTAGTTAGCAACAGGACTATAATACTATCTCTAATGATAAAGGAAAGAGCTTAATAGCAAAGCTCTCCTCAAATCCACACTTCTAAATTTTGATTTTCTGCTTTTCTGCTGAGAGAATAGTTTAATTTCACAGAAAACAGTGGTATCCTTAAATGTCATGTATGTTTTTCACTTTTTTAGGATCAGGAATTCCCATCTTTGTTTCACTCAATTATAACAAATAAGATTGGATCCAAACCATTCATCGCAATTCCACCTGAGGGACCTTACACGTATAAATTAACAGAAAGGTTCCAATTTAAAAGTATTGCTCACAACAATAATAAATATCTGGCCATACTGGGAATGAATACTGGCCCATATTTGCTGAGTATCGTAAAACCAAGTATCTTGGCAGCTTCTCCTTGCAGAAGAAAGTTCAGAAATGACAGAAAGGCAATCTCCATTCCAACACATTTTAATTTGTTGTTTAGAACTCTGTGGTGTCAGACTACAAACTTATAAACATGATTTTTTTAAATGCCTTTGGAAAATGTCCTACTACAATATTTATAGCACATTATATTCAAAGTATAATGCAATGACTTTTAAATCAGTTGCATGAATTATAACTCAGTGCCATGATGACATGAATAATAATGTAAAAATCAGATTCATAATTTACAAAAATGTTGGTTGATAGATTGAAAATTGATATTTAAATCAGGCATTTAACATGTATGAGTAAAAATTTTTAATCAACATGAAAATACCATTGTGAGATTAATGTTAGAGTTATAAATAGAAATTCATGTATTTTTCACATTTTTGCTGCCACTGTCGATATTTAAATGACAAAAGTTTACACAATACTGTGCAGTCAACCCAAATTATTTCAGATGTGACAGAACTGACAACAGCCAAAACCCACATTGAAAATATTAACACATTCATCACCAAGCATCGTGCCTTCAAGTCAAGTATCATTTGGACTTTTCCTATCTTTTTATCACAAATATATTATTTCCAAAATCTTGACCCTGACTATGGCTACACACACACACACATACACACATAAATAAATATATATGTATAAATGTAGATAGACACTTGGAATAACTATGCAGAATCACATTTATAAAATAAAGTTTAAATCATACACCAACTTCTAGAAAATAATGGAGTTTTTAGTATACTTTTATCACTAAGATATATGAAAATGGTGGTAAAGATGAATAAATGTTACCAAAGTATAACAAGGTTAATGTGGCTTTTGGTAGATTTTTATATAAAAGCCATTCTCATAAATGGCTCCTCAGAACAGTGAAAGAGAAGATAACATCCTTCGCCCATCAACTTACGTTATAAAGGAGCAGGTTCAAAGTGCTGACAAATGTACCATTGTTCTCCCTCACAGAAATAGCAGCTGAGGACCTAAAACAGATTGAGGAAAAGGAAGGCATTAATGAGATTTTAAAAGTTTCAGTTATACCTTAATGTTAGATTTAAGGCAAAAAACTCTTGAGTAATCCTGACATACTTTTAACTAGGTCTGTAGTGTGCATACTGTTTAAATTACTGAACAGATAAATAATCAAACAGCAAGAGGGACTAAGTAAAGACAAACTGTTCTTTATGATCTTTTTATTTATAAAGGAACCCTTTTTACATTTTTTATTACTTACATGAAACTTTTGCAGAAAAACCTCATTCCAAAGAAAATTGAATCTGATGCAAATACATTTTCATCAATTCCACTTCAATAGAAGTTTCATGAGATCAGGGACTTTGTTTTACTTTGTTTACTGCTGGAACATTGCATGGCACGTAGTACGTGTATAATATTTATTGAATAAATGAATATGTTTCCATGTGCATTGAAGTTCAGGAATGTATTCAGTGGGAAAGTTGAGGGGAGCAGAGTGAAAGACTATGACCTCCTTCCCTCTGCACCTGTATCCTTTTGACTCAAGGCCTTTCTTTTCTTGTTTTCCACATCAAAATCTTGCTTTTGACCAAGTTGTTTGTCATCATTGTGCCATTAAATCATCTATGAATATATTTTACCTGAAGCAAAATGTGGCCTCCACATTCCCTGTGACTGAGATTAAACAATAACTACTTTTGTGATAGAAAACCCTAGAACTGGAGAGGGAAAGTTCTTATTCAATCACCCCATCTTGTCAAAAATATTTCACAAATCCATATGGTTATATTGTAACGTGGATGTATAACTGTCTTGGAGTATGTGCTTTGGGAGTAATGAATGAATACATGACTATAAACAAAAGGCAATGACCGCAGTCCATGTCTGAAGCTCTTTGGTTCTGGGTGACACCACCTTTCCTGGGAAGCATCAGCAACTGTGCAGGTGACACCTCAGCAGGAGGCATGGAGACCTCAGATTCTGGGCAGCAGAGTCCACCAGTGAGAGATACGGCAGAGAATGAAGCTAAACAGGACCCAAAAATGCAGTGACCGAATGTTCCACACACTGGAAACAGGACAGGCCCTTCTGGTGCATAAGCACCCAGGGTTCTTGGGTTCTTGGGCAGTTCTAAGGGGAGCTAGGAGAACCCCAGGCAGACATCTGATTAGTTTGAGCCAATTTTAATTGGGGGGGGATTAAAACTGAGCTGTTGATATGCATCATAACAATAACACTTACAGACGGATAGAGAGGTAGATAGGTAGGTAAGTAGATAGATAAGACCTTATATGGTTTCCATGACATTGAGTTTAGCTATTCGCAACAAATCCTACCATCTTTATAAGTCCCTCAAGGGTAAAAATGACTCAAACCAAAAGACAATATGAGAAAGCAAGAATAAAATGCGACTTACGAAGCAAGCTGGGTATTATTAACCAGGTATTCCAATGGATAACTACAACTAAATTTGTAAAGAAGTCCAGGTAGGTAACTGATGATTGTTGGTGGGTCTGGAGTATCAATATATCCTGAAATATTTCCTATTTGTACTGAAGTTGCATTTCCATAAGCACTGACTCCAGGAATTGTGGATACCTGTTAGAATGGTAGATCAAGCTCAGTTATTAAATAGTTACATGTAAATCTAGGCATTTCATATGCAAAATAAAACATTAGACAAATCATTTCTAGGGTCTGTTGCAACTATAACATGGCATGGTTTTGAAATTATACACATATAATGCTACTTATAAGTGATCATACGTCTTTTTCTTCTTCCTCTCATAAAGAGGGTGATTTTATTCTTTTTTAATTAGTTTTTATTGGAGTAGAGCTGATTTACAATGTTGTGTTAGTTTCAGGTGTACAGCAAAGTGAATCAGTTATACATATACATATATCCACTCTTTTTTAGATTCTATTCCCATGTAGGTCATTACAGAGTATTGAGTAGAGTTCCCTGTGCTAGACAGTAGGTTTTTATTAGTTATCTATTTCATATATAGCAGTGTGTATATGTCAACCCCAATCTCCCAATTTATCTCCCCCGTTCTCCCCTGGTAACCATAAGTTTGTTTTCTACATCTGTGACTCTATTTTGTAAATAAGCTCATTTGTAGCATTTTTTTAGATTCCACATATAAGCGATATCATATGATATTTGTCTTTCTCTGTCTGACTCATATGTGTCTTTTAACTAAATAAAACTTCATATAACCAAAGACACTATACTCATATTTCATAAATAAGAAAGTAGAGAGACTATATGTCACTCGTTGTGCTACAGCAAGTAATTTGAAAACACTCATGGGTAAAGTCCAAATTCCGTGGCATGGCCTAAAAGACCCCTGTTAATCTGATCTTGTTTTCCATGTTAGCTTCACATCTCCAGGCTCCCACTCTTGGTTAATAATGTCCCAGCCCCAAGGCCCTTGTTGCTCTGGCCTTTGCGCATACTCCTCCTGCCTCCACTCTCCCCTCCTCACCATGACATATCCCATTCCTCCCCTGGATCTCATCTTCCCTGGAAACTTCTCCTGATACACCCCACAGCTTCTATTCATGCAGTCACAGTGCATGAGCAGTCTGACTCAGCGCACCCCCATCCATAATCAGAGCTCTTTGTGGGCAGGAGACCCTCCTGGTCTTGTTTGCCTTTGTCCCTTCAGCATAGCTCAGTGACACCAGCATCTTGGGGTCCTCAAGATAAATTCTGAACAAATGAATTAAGGTCACAAATTTTCTTAGGGTCGATCTTCTCAGGGTCTTCCTCTGTGGTACATGGAGATTCTCATCCCCTTCCAGGACAATAGTTCTTAGCTGGGTTGCGGAGGGATCATGAACTCCTAGAATTTATATAAAAATATTGTCCATGTGTATATTTTCCTGGGACTGATTAGCTTTCATTTTTCCAATCCCACTAAAATTTAAGAACCAGCATTTCAGGAATAATCAATAATGTTCTTGACCTTCATAATACAATCGAGCTTCTCCCACCATGTCAAATACAATATGATGCTCAATTAATATTTTTAGCAGATATTATGGAGACCGGTAACATTTAATTTTCAACAATAGAATACCCTTTATACATGAACCTAGGAGCACATGGGCAAAGCTGAAGCAATTATCTAGCTGCCTCATGAAGAGAACCGAAATCATCATGAATGAACACATTTTGATTCTAATCCAGATGATTTAGTAGTCTACTTAATTTTTCCCATACAGGACTATCCTTGGAGCAAACTCCAAAGGTGGTGACATCTAAGACAAAAATAAAAAACTAAGTGATTCTTCCTCTCTACACATCGCCTGCCTGACTGGCTAGCTAAACATGCAAATTCTGTCTGAGAAAAAAAATTATATACATATATTTACATACATATATTTACATATATACACATGATATACATCTCAATTTTTATACCAGAGGAATTCAGCTCTAAAAAAAAAATGAAGGTACACACACGAACACGTACACACACACACACACGCACACACACACACACACACACACACAGGCTTTGTCTGGCAGTTCTCCCAAATTGTTTTTCCAGCAGCAGGGTAAGACTGAAGTCAAGAGTAGAGAGCTCCTTGAAGGAGAGGCCTTGGGCGACCGTGGGAGGAGGGGCAGGGCTGCTGCTCTCCACAGGGGCCCCCTCCCTCCACACGGAACCTTGGATGTGTAATAATCAACCTGAATCCCTCTCCCTCACTCTCCCTTAGGCCCACTTCATAACCTCTCTGCACACAACCCAGAGAGATGAATAAACGTTTTCAATAAAAAGAGTCAACAATACTCAAGCTGTAGACTTGGAAATGGTCATGGGCACAATATTCTAACTGCCCTCCCGGAAAAGATAAAGGAGATTCAAAGAAATCTCTTTTTCCTGTCTCCTATCTCCCACCACGTCTTAAAAGCCCTGCCCTTAGAATAATCAAGCTTTTCCCCTTAATCCCAAACAATAATTTATCAAGAGGAAAAACTGATCTCTCCTTCTTCACTGGGCTAAGTGGTCACGCTCATTGAATCTTCTTTTTGTCTTTGCTAGGATTAACCAATAAGACTATATTTAAACAAGCAAAAGAAAAAATAGTGCTAAATGAATTTTAGTGTAACACCCCCCAAATCACAATATTTTTACTTCAATTAATTTTAATTCCCAGGAGAGTGAATGCCTCTTTCAATTCTATTTTTGGTGTTCAATGCATGCATAAATAAATGAATAGTGTAGACTAGTGGTTCTCACTCAAGGTGGAAATATTTGAAGTGGTGTTTTGATTTTCACAATGACTGGAGAGAGCGTGCTCCTGGGATTTCATGGGTAAGACTGTGTATGATAACATTTTGAAATTCAAAGGACAGTCCCACAGGATGAAGAATTTCACACTGGAAATGCTAACAGCCCTCTTTTACAAAACAGTGGTGTGGATCATTCAGTGGTAAACATGATAACCTAGAAGATTCTAAGTTTCTCATTCTATATTTCATCTTTCTTCCTGAATGAGGTCACTAAGAAGCAATAGGCCAAGTGATCCATCGCCAAACTCACTGGAATATAAAAGATACTTCCATGAAACGCATGAGGAACATAGCTAATTATCATTAGATAATTAGATAATTAGATAATAACTGTAGAGACATATTCCTCAGCATCACTCACACAAAATAATGTTGGTTAGAGTAGCACAGTTAATCTCAGCCCCCTCAACCACCAGCTACAATAAACAGAACCACTATTGGAAAATAAAATTGTATGATTGGGAGCAGAAGCCTCAAACAGGCAAAGGAAAGCTATTTGTTCAGTTTTATTGGAATTTTTTCTCGAAAGACAGATTGGGCTTCTGATTATTTCATGAAATTGGGAGATTTTTTAGTTATGATCCCCAAACCTAGCACACAATTTCACACTAATCTTACCACTAAATTGTTTCCACAGCCCTCCAAGGTGCTGAGATTGATGATGAAAATGACCACTGCAGGAAAGGTGTTGTTATTGATGAACCCCCTGCAGTGGGAATCCCCATGCCTTCCATTCAGTGCCAGGTCTGTTTCAGAATAACCGGAGAAAAGTACTGTGCAAAAATTAATCTTCATTGTAATGGCCTGGACCCCACAGTAGACATTGATGTCTCTTTCAGCTGAAATAAAAAATATAAAAAAACAAACAAATCACGAAAGCACAGCATGGGGTCCAAGAATAACTTTACCATCCCCTGAGGTATTTTCATCCCCATGGTCTGTTTAACTCATTCCTATACTTGAATACACCATAATCCAACGTGAAAGTATTAGGAAAAATAGTCTTTGATTTAGTTATTTCAGGAGAGATCTTTGAGTGTAGAGATTATAGTGTATCTCTGTTTCCTTGTGCCCGGTACACAGTGGATGTGCATTAAATGTTTATTGGGTAGTGTAAAATGATTGGAGAATTGAGTGGAAAAAATCAGGCCACGGAGGAAATTCAGAAGAGAGGAACTGAATTATTTAGATCACCTGTCTAGAGCAGTGAGCCTCACTACAAATGATGCATTTTCTCAAGTGTAAGGAAGAAGCAGTTAAAATCCATCCTAAGCCAAATTGTTGAGCACTTTGGTGTTTTGTAACCCATCTTATCCAGGATGTATAAACAAAAGCCATCTATCCAGATTCCATTTTATTTTATTAAATTATGCTAGAGAGGAAGAGAATGAAAACTTATCTGTTGATATTACAGTCAGACATGCAGTCTACCCTAAGAAAAATTTGCCAATAACTATGCCTGAATAAAAGCAATTAACTAGGCATGAAAATGTAAATACACAATTTGCAGTTTTCCATGATTCCATGAGTTATCAGTGATGGGATCCATTCCAGGTCTATAGAGGTGAGCAGGCACACACACACAAACACACACACACACACACACACTCCACACACAAGATTTTCATGTCTCTATTTAGTTATTTTTCTGCATGTAATGAGGAAAATATATGTAGAAAATGGAGAATTTGGCTGTTGCTAGGCAATTCCCCAGTGTCAGAAGCTTTCAGTTTTATTGGTTTTGGTAACTGTTACAGATTGAATTGTTTCCCTCCCTCCAGAAAAAAAAAAAGATACATTGAATCTTAACCCCCAGTACCTCAGAATGTGGTAATTAGTTTAGATGAGGTCATACTGGAGTAGGGTGGGTCTCTACTCCAATATTACTGGTGTTCTTCTAAAAGAAGTATCATGTGAAGAGACAGAGACACAGGAAGAATGCCATGTGAAGACAGAGAATTGGGGTGACACACCTACAAGCCAAGGAATAGCAAAGACTGCCAGCAAACCACCAGAAGCTGGTAAGAGGCCAAGAAGGATTCTGTCCAGAGTCTCAGATGGAGTTTAGTCCTACTGATACCTTGATTTTTAACTTCCAGCCTCCGGAATTGCGAGAAAATAAATTTCTGTTGTTTGAAGTCACTCTGTTTATGCCACATTGTTACAGCAGACTTAGGAAATTAATACAGTAAGCTTACTACTTTTTACCACTCTTATTTTTTACCACTGAGATAAAGAATCTGAAACATACATCTGGTTTTCAAAGTGTGAAAACAAACAAATAAAAATGGATTAGGCTGTTTGGAGAAATCACCTTGATTGTTCAAAAAAGGAAAAACAAGCATAATAAAATATTTTTTTTGGTAAATGATCTAAGTAATATGTAAATGTCATTCATGACTTTTTGGCATAAAGTTAATTTGCTTAAATATATCAGTTCTAATCTATGGGTAAAAGTGTTCAACAGCATATTTCTTTGGAGTGTTTATTCTGCATACTGGCTTTTTGTTGGTAAAGTGAGTCATATTTTGAGGATATGAATCAATCAAAGTGGAAATTCCTATATTTGATTATGATTTTAAACTCAATACAAAAAAGAAAAATTTTTTTCATAGCAAAAGATAGAAAGATGGAAAATCTTTTTCATGGCCAAAAGGCAAATATTAGGCTGCTTGGTACAGAAAACCCCAAGCAATATTCCCCTTGTAGGTGGAAAATAAAATGATAACCCACAGATGAAGCATACTTTGCCAACACAGAAAATAATAAATATGACTTAAAATTGGGAGAATATCTCTATTAGCTTTCAACAACATTAGCTGTTCAAATGCAACTATAATTTTTAAATGATGCTCTTATTAAAATAATGAGTTCATTTTAACAAACGTTTGAATGTTTCAAACATTCAAACTTCAAATTACATCTTAAATCTGGTGATTTTTCTCCATCTTTATGCTATTCCTTGGTCTATGCCATAATTATATTTTCCCTAGAATATTACATTCACCTCCTAACTGGTTCCTTTATTTCAACTCTTAATGCCCTCTGATTAGTACAGCTGTTAAAACGTGAATCCAATCATGTTACCTCTTTGCAAAGATCTTCAACAGCTATTCATTTCACTCAGGCCAAAAGTCCAAATCTTGAACCAGGTCCTCAAGACTCTCTGTGATCCACCACCTGCCTACCTCTGCATTCTCATCTCCTCTCTACTATCCTCCTTACTCCCTACATCTGTTTCACTGAACTCTGTTCAGTTCTTTAAATGTATCACACTGAATCATAGAGGCCAGAATAGTGGTTACCTCTGAAGGAAAACTGTCTAGAATAGGGGAAACAAGGAAAATTTGGAGGGTGATAAAATTGTTCTCTATCAATCTGAGTGGTGATAACATGAGTGTATACATATGTTAAAATTTCAAGCCACACCCTTAAAATTGCTGCATTTTATTTTATGTTATTCCTCAATAAAATACTGTATTTTAAAAAGCCTAATATAGGTTACACATGACCTTCAATCAGTTTTTTCCCCTCCGTAGGATGCTTCTCCTATTCCCAATCTTTGTCTGAGGAACTCCTACTCATCCCTCAGGTCTCGAATTTCATTGTCTTTTTCCCAAAGACTTTCCTGATCCCAAATCTAAATTATGCTACTCTGTCTTATGTTGTCGTATTGACTTGGAATCATATATGTATTTGTATAATTGTCTTCTCAACAAATTGAAAGTCCCAGAAAGCAGGAAGCTATGATATTCATTGATGTACTCCAGTGAGTAATTAATTAATTAATCACATAAAGTATGGGGCAATAGACTGCACTAAGGATGTACAAAGTAGTGGTCCTTTTCCTTAGGTAGATCACAGTCCATAAGAGGAGGTAGGTGTGGCCCACATTTAAGAAAGATTGGACAGAGAACCATGGGGTGGCATTGAAAGAGAACCTTACCCAGACCAGTTGATTAGGAACAGCTTCCTGGAGAAGATGGCATTGAACTGAGTTTTGAAGTATCGGTAGGAGTTAGCTACAAAAAGGAGTGGGAAACTTACAGCACAAAGGGGACAGCATGAATGATGACAGAAGTGTGAAATAAATATGCTCAGGCTGGTTAGGAGCTGGACAGTTCATTTGAATTTAAAAAGCAAGGAGGAAATGGTAGGCAATGAGGCCAAGTAGCAAGCACATAGGCAAGATCACAGGAAACCTTCACATACAAAATGGTCTCTGTAAGGTAGCAAAATATCTACTTAAATGTGAAATCAAATTCTCAACTACTAGACCGTGCACTAAGAACTCTTTATGCTTGGGGAAATAGAGAATGAGTATCATTGCATTACTTGGCATACCCTAAATGTATGGAAGTTAATACATATCATTAAATATGTTACAAAAGAGGTATCACTCCCTTAACTTAAACCAACTGAAGATTTTAGCTTCCTCACCTTTGTTTGAGAATTAATTGATGCCTATGCTAGCTTAACAATGGCAGTGATTGCTTTGTCCAGACATAGTGCTCTCTTCCGTTTTCTGCTTTATAACTGGAGACTTGTAACCCCTGCAGTGGAACTGAATTTGCTACAAGCTGATCCCACTTGGAGAAATGATAACAAACTAAAGACTTTACAGTGTAAGAAAGGATCTGTTCAAATCCATCCTAAACTAGCTTTCTAAAGACTTTTCACTGTCCCTTCCAAGGAACACATTTTTCCCTGGTTGTAGATACTAAAGACATCTATTCAGCACAACTTTTCCATTTGTGAGGCTTTGAGGGAAACAAAAATGCTACTTCAAGTTGCCAAAGAGCAATTTCTGCGAAAAGTAGAGAAATTTTTTTCAGTTACTGAATAACAGTTGCTCTCAACAACTAATTTTTTTTAGGCTTTTTATTGTCCAATCCCTGGCCTGAATTGTAATATCCCTTTGAACAACACTGCAGTATTAAACAATCCAATGAATACAAGCTAATGACAAAAAATAATCAAGGAATAAACATCTTTAGATGTTTGGTTTCTAGTGTTTTCTGTCTAAAGATACTAAGTATGTCTAAAATGGTAGGCTTGCATACAGAGTTTATGTGCCGGTATGCTGCCAAAAGGGTGATTTTTCCCCTGATATTTAACCAAGCTAAGTTATTCATAGAAAATTTTAAAATGCAGTATTCAATTGAATTCAGATAAAAATAAAGAGATGTTCTGCACTCCTCTTACCTACCAATCAGGCAATGAGTTTGTCTCAGATTTTCTAAAATTATGCAAATTTAAATATCCTGTCACACTAAATATCCTGTCACCATCTATCTCACCATGTACAAAAACATAGCCTGATATGGGGTTCATAGAATATGGTTACCATATAAATGGAGTAAAAAGGAAATGGATCCAATTCTGTATATGTGAATAAAAACATCACTCTACCTATTTATCTCCAAGAAAGTTCCATTCCTAGAACACCTAATATACTTTTCTCTTTAGACATAATTAATGACAATATATTCTCAGCATATGATTCACATATTTAACAAATATATCTATTTTCTTTTTCTCAACAATTCCATACTCAACTAGCTTACATCCAATTGCATCCAGATGAGGCTAATGATTCCTAATTTTTGATACATGGAATGATTTTTATCTCATCTCAATACTATTAAGTTTGAGACCTACATTTTCTTTCAGTAGTGTCAGAATATTTAACATGTTCTAATTATTACTTGGATTAATAAGGGCACAGATCAATGCAAGTATTCAAATAATTTGCACACATATATTCTGCAACACAAACACTCCAGAATTGAACTGAACTCAGCACTGCAGTGCAGTGGCTCAAAATGTTCCTTCACTA